CTCCTCCGGGCCTTGGGCCTCTTGTCTTAAATATATTGAAATTGAAAGTGAAATTGAATTCTACTTTGGTCGTAGATTATAAATCTTTATCTTAATTCGCTTTTTAAAAAGTTATATTTTAACGGAAAGTGTATACTTCAGATGACTTCTTTTGCCTAAAGTTCATAACTTATTTGAGCCTATAATCATATTAATATAGCAATAATTATTACTATAAAGGAGGGCGATTGTGAACTTTGTGATTTGAATAATTCCTTTGACCCAGTAGTGGAAGACTCGGCGATTTTGGTGAGATTCGAACTCAGGATAACAGGGTGAGAGCTTTAGTACAGCCAATGTTCTATCTGTCTAAATTACTAGGCCCCATTGGAAGCCATGATTTCAATCATAGATGGGTCAACTTACTTTCTAGTCTACGGCAACCTATGCAATCCACCAACCCTTATACAGTAAGCTGATAGTTCAAGCAGGAATGTCCGAGCAATCAATCCAGGATTTTTCAATGACTATCCGGCACGACTGACTAATAAAAAGAAAGGGTTGTCAGATTTTATTCACTGTTTTCTTGATAATATGCTTATTGTGTACTTCGTTTTCGTAGCATTCCGATTTTGCTAATGTTTTGGCAGCTCGTAGCATGTCATTAAACCACAAAATTTCTTTTAATTTCGATAATACTGGCTCTGCACATCTCTAATGTGTTACTTATATCTAAAATATCTCATTTATTCTTAAATTTTTTTAATATTTTGCCAAACTACCGTAGTTTATAAATGGACCACAAACTGCATTCATTGACTGTAATCTCAGTTGTACAGCATCAAATTGCTGAACTCTTGCAACCGGGGTTGTTTTTCATGCCGGATTTTGACGGTCCTGCTGTCGTCGTGGCTACTTCTTCAAACGCAATGCTCGTTTGCAGGGGACTTGTATGCCTTGATCCATTTTCCTCTCAAGTTATGATATCTACATATGAAAAATCTTAGACATCATAAGTTTTTCGTGGCAGACCGCCTGGAGATATTTTTAGGCTAGCGTCAAACGTGGAGCAGCACACAGCATGAAAACCTACTCGAATAACTACAGTACCTAGCCTTGGGTTGTTTTTTATATGCCTAATTTTATATCGTCGAGGTAATAAGCCTTCTATCTCATCTATGTTGCTCCAATGTCACGATAAAATGAAGGCTAGCGGGTTTGGTCGCGATTACAGTAACCCGCGAGGCCAGCCCAACCGTCTACGCGTGTCCCGTCATTTGACAAGCTTTCATGTTACGATTCAGTGTCATGACAGTCATATTGAATAGGATCAATTAAAGCCTGCCCCTCAATCCACAACGCTTACCGGGGGTCCATGTCACCTCGCCATTTGATAGCTTTCCAAGCAATGACTTTCAGCGTGTCCAGGTAGATGTAAGCGCATGGGATCTGTTATAAGAGAACAGTCGCTGATTCATCGTGAACTGAATCCACCAGAGTCGGAATCGCTTTCTTTCCTCGATTATATACTAGTTGACTGTACTTATTTGTACTTGTTACGGCCGTGATCATGCTTGATCAGGCCGGCCTCGATGATGTCACAGACGGTACCTCTCCATGCGTGACAATTGGTGGCAGCGGATCTGGAGAGCTCTTCTCCCGCGCCGGAGACCGAATACCGAGGGTCCAAGAACCACTTCCATGTCCTGACGGACTGAGT